CCCTTTTCCTTTATGTGCTTCCTCTAAAAAAGCAGTGACACCAACACTACTGGAGCTGAAGAGAAAACAGAAGAGCCTCTGTGCAGTCCCTGCCCCACCATCTGTCTAACATTGACTTCTTGAGGATCAAGATGTTATACGTGGAGTCTGAGAAATGTCCCAAAGCTCAGAGACATCCATATGTCTCACGGACAAGATTTATGGTCAATGCACTGTATTTTAATTGTTTCATTACAACATATATTTCCCACATTGTATTAATAAAAGGTCACTGAGAAAGCTATCAAGTAGGGTTTTAAAAATTAATTTAAAAATCCATTTGGCATGACATTTATCAAAGCAAAAAAAAGTAAATGCTGGAAAGTAAATCTTGTCATTGTTCTGTTTTCCACAGTCAGCTTTTTATTACATCTTTTAAACAAAATGTAAGTCACCCTTGTTATAAACAAACAAAGGGGCTTTAAGGAAAGTCAACAGAGGCTGAACTACTCTCAGACAAAACCATCTGGTTTAGATTAAGGTAAGCAGAAGACTTACTCAAACAACAGGAAAGCTTGAATTGTGACTAAAATAACTCATAGATTTTTCACATAAGACAAATAAACATAACTTCTTTAACTTTAGACTCTATGCACCCATCTACAACACGTGCTGTTGGGTGAATCCTTCCACTCTGAACTTCACAGACCCACGCAATAAGCTCATACCTAAATTTAAATTTGTGAATACTCTCAGAAACACACATTTGATAATTTTACAATTTTGCATGTATGGGCTTTAAAAGATTTACTTAAGGCACTTCGAATTTTTCAGTTCTCCAACTTTTTCAATTTCTTAATGGTGCGTTTTTAATATTTTAAACCCACTTACAAACTGGTAAGTGTTCAAGGAGCCACAACACTTTGCCTTATAACCAGTACCAACTGTATATATTCAAGTAAGAAATACAGTGTGACAAGGAGTTCATTTTGTGTAAGATGAAAGGAAAAGCAATTTGCAAATAAGCTCTATTTCACTGAGATGTCTTTATAGCACATGGCATGGCTACTTTAGCACTTTTATGCAGTACATAACACTGCATAATAACACAGTCAATTTCAAATACACAGTAAGACCTCTTTCTTTCTACAGTACACAATAAATGCAGATATTTCTAATAGGCATACAAGGTATTTTCAGTGGTTTTAATGTTCTACTTCTCAGCCAGATTCCAACACATCTGGGAAGCCCAAATTCCCCTCAGTCCTCTCCTTTTGCATTAAACTCGGTGGCACTGCTGAGCACTGCTAATGGGTTTTTTTCCATTCACTTATAGTCACTTGTCAGGTCAAGAACTGAAAACATCAATACAAAACTATTTATTAATTACAGTTGTCAGGTGCCCAGCACAAATCAGCTGCTTTACCCAGTTATACCAGCTCCCTCCCCTCCACTGTGTTCACTGTCTGCTCAGACAACTCATCACTGCTACTGGTGATTATTATTTGTAATTTTTCATACCCGGCCACTTGGGTAAAGCAGCTGATTGCATCTTCACCTTTTGCACCTTGGTTGCAATCTTAGTCTTCCCCTCCCTGAACCTTCCTCCAGATCCTTAATTACTGTTCCTCTTTACAGCTCCCAAAGCCCATGGTTATTATTTTCATTTGAGCAGCACCCACACTACGCTTCAAACACACGTTCCTGTTCAAAAAATTTATAATCTATGTAATGGATTTTTCACACTTGAACTCCAAACACATATTAAAAATTTATGACGTCCTGCACTTCTGACCCCCAACGTTCAGCCCAGAAGTGTTTTCACAACTGTGACATAACAAGGTAATACATGTGAATTTGGGGAGGGAGATGAGAGCAGCAGGAATCAAATCTTTTTTTTTTCCTCTCCACAGACAATTCCTCTACTGCCACTATTAGAACTAACCGTGAATAAAAAATACAGATCCTGGAGAAATGTGTGTGGCTGCAAGGTCTCCTGAGGTTTGGCACATGTACACCGGGGTGTGTTTTCACACCCAGAAGGCACTGGGGACACAGTAGGCTGCATGCAAAAAAAGGATTTGCCCCATATGACCTACCTGGGCTCTACCAGCACCAGCTGGAAGCCATAGGCACCCTTGGTGGACAAGGCAGGCCAAGACAGACACCCAAAATGAGAAGGACAAAGCATCTCTTTGATGTGCCTCTTGGTCTTCCACAGCCACAAAGGAAGCCCAGTAATTATGTTATAATAAATACCTGGGGTTTTGACAATTAAAAATACTTGAGATGAAACCCAGCCTTTACCTCTGTCTTCCCAAATTTCTAAAATTAATCATGCCCACTCCATATGCAGCAGTGAGTTAAATCACTGGGAGGGCAGGCACTGGGGAAAAGCCTCCCACCAGGGAGTTCAGCACCTGTTTCAAGCACTCTTTGGTAATGAAAAAAGGTGTAACTAAGCACAGATCCCCAGTGAAACAGGAGTATTTACACGATGATCAAAATAACTGGTGTCACAACCAAGAGTGGAAACTCCCTGGGAAAAGAGCCATCTTTTACTTCTGCATTTGTGCAGTATGTTGCCTAAATGAGGGCTGAAGTTTTCAAAATCCAGTCACACTTAATAAATAGTACATTCGATGCTGTTCTTTCTACTGCAGTAGTCTTGCTCCAGAATTCCTCTAGCCAGACCAGCTTTGCTCCACAAGACAGGAAGTATTACTAAAGACAGACATCACTAAAAGTACCTATATGAACAATTCTCTTCTGGGTTAATCTGAAACCTAAACCCTGTCTCTAACTTCAGCAAAGAAAAGACAAAATTATCTCCCTAACCAATAAAAAAAAAAAGTAAATAAATCAAATAAACTTTTCTAATAGGGAAGGAAGCTCAGATGTGAGAATCAACAGAACTTGGAAAATCCCCATCTTTGAAAAGTTTTAAAATGATGCAAGATAAGCATTGGACAAGAATGTCCTGCAGTGGATACTGTCCTAGACAAGGGCTAGACTAGCTGTTTCCTGAAATCTCTCCAATCCTATTTCCTTCAACACCTGTGATTCCTCAGGGGAAGAGCGTAGGGGAAGCACTTTCTGCCTCACCCACCCAAACAACTTCATCAGACACAAGGCTCTTAACAATACAAAAGGCAGTGGAAGAATTCCGACAGACACAAGAAGCACCATCTGGAAAGAGATGCACTCACAGACTTCAGTAACTACATTTGGGTTTAGATGAATAAAATAAATAAAGAGAGAGGAGAGATCAAACAACTGAAGACTAGCTTCCCTCCAAAAACTGCTTATAAATCTAAACGATCCTTGCAGATGACTGGATCACATCCAAGCTGCCTCCAACACTCACAGTGTTTGTCCTTTCGTTAAAGGTCACTGTTTTCCAGGCTACTGAGTTTCTTTGCACATTTCTAAATCACACTTAAGCTCTGCTGCATTATACACATTTTTCCTTCACAGGGGTTAAATGAGGCAACAGTTTTATCTTAGAATAGTGTAGTGGTTAGGGAAGGCCACATGTATCAATCAGCATGGTTAAGCAGGAAGAAATCTGCAGCTGGCTGTTACTGAATTATTTAGGACAAGAATAAGGGCAGACAAAGAATGAGCAGACAAATGGAAATACTTCTGCTTTCAGAGTGCAGGCTTCTTAGCCCAGCAGCTCTCCCATTTTTCCTTCTCTATTTCTGTGATATGCAAAGAACTTAGAAGGCAATTTAAAAGTAACATCATATACCATACAAGGCCAAATTGATCCCTAATTCATGGAGCAACATTTTAGAGAAAAGCTCTCCTAGCAGAAGTTCCTTATAAACTACGAAGAGCTGAATGGGCCATTTTCCCTTTTCTTAGTGAGTGACCTGATGTCAACAGAGATTCACTGGATTTAAATCCCTCAGAGGTGGAAGGTATGTGAATTCACAAATTTCCTTAAGAGAGAAAAGTATGGGAGGGAGGAATCAAGCCTCCAAGCCTTTTCTGGAAGGAAACACAAGTCAGCCTGAAAAAGTAATGTTACACAGCAGCACTCAAATATTTATCTTTGATGATCTTGGAGCTCAACCAGCTGAAGCTACCACGCAATATTAGGTAGTGTTTACATACAACAGCACATAAGGCATCATGTTAAATTTAAAGCTGCTTGGCACCAAAATACCAGATCCCACAAGATCTGTTATGTCATCTTTGTAAGTGAAAACCATTACTTCAAATTGTACACACTTCATTATCACATACACTCCCCCATTCACTACCTGAAAACTGGTCAGGAATGAATCTCAGTCAAAACCAGTCACATACTGTATGCTGCTTCTTAGCACACTTCCACAGATAGCCACATAATGCATTTGCTTTTAAAGGTAACGTGCACCTCTACAAAGCTTTTCCATTTCCCACAAGGGTTCTCACAATGCACACAGAATACAGGAAAACAACATCAAGGCTGAAAATCCAAGTGCAGTGACATTTACAGACATGTGGCTCTGAAGCAACCTCCTGAGCCCCTTCCTCAGCAGCAAACTGTTTTGCAACACATCTAAGCTGCAGATTAATGCTGTGCATCACAATCCATCAACAGCAACTGCTGAACTGCACACAGTGTTAGAAGCTCAGCACTAGACTTGAGGGTCAAGTTCACCTTTGATATAATCCCATGAAGCTCCCAGAGCTTCATGTGTGACAAACTTGGCCTTTTGTGTTTTTCTAAAGAAGTTACCAGGTATGTGACAGACAAATAACATCACCTGCATACATGAAGTTAAAATAAGTGCAAAGATCTGAGGAAAGGATCTCACCATGTGAGATAAGAAAGCAAATTCCTTGTGACATCTGATAGAACATCTTCCAAAGCTCTTTAACTCTTCAGCTCTTGAAACATGGCTTAGAATACCATTAGCCGATCCCCACAAAGATAAATATGTATAGATCTCAAATTTTATCTGTATCTCTCTGTATGTCCACACACATGCAAACAAAACTGAAGCAGCTGAATTATTACTACTTACTAGACAAGCCTGAGGCAGGAAGCTGTTCACTCTGGAGATACTCCACATGCCCTCGAGGTACTGCTGAGCTTGGATGGTGACAGAGCTCAGGGCACCACTGAGACCGCTGGGGGCCACCGTCACTTGAACGCTGGAGTTGGGAAAGCTGCCCACACCTTGAGACCATCCGAGTCCTTTCTTCCTCTCTGCTGCAGAGAAGAGACTGGGAGGCTTTCCAGGCTGCCTGCCCACCTGCCCAGCAATGAGTGGCAGGTCCCTCTGGGAAGAGACAGTGACCATCCTGGGTACCATGCTGGTCACTGCCCCGGCGCCGGGCGGGAGGTCGGGCATCTCTGGGTAGCTGGTCTGGCTGAGGGTGTGCATCATCTGAATGGCTTCCTGCTTCAGCTGATTCAAGTGAGTGGCACAAGTCTCACATCTGCTCTCTCCTTCATTCCTGTTTTTCTGCAAATAGTCAGGCACTTGAAGCTTGTCAAAAATTAAAGCTGATAATCGTGGGTCCTAAAGAAGTGAAGAAAGTGGGGGGAAACATAGTCAGTTAAAGCAGAAAGATAAAAAGGAGAGGAAGAAATAAAGTTCTCTGATTTGCTCTCCACTCACGGAAGTACTTTAAATCTGTTCTGGTAACTCTCAGCATTTTTCCTGCTAAACACCCTAACAGGCCCGCAGTGGATTAATAAACCATAAGTGAATTCATTTGTATTAGACCCAGCATGAAAATTACCATCAGAATTAAACAGTGGAGCTGTGGTGTTCTTGATAACTGCTCATTCTTCTAATTAACTCTCCTTTGGAGACATCTACAGCGCCCGTGTTTCCCATGCTCAGGAACAATGTTAGCTGAGATGCTGAATCTACAAATATCATAACTTGATTCAAAGGCATACCACCACCAGAAACCAAGGAAAATTAGACTTGAAAGTATTTTGTAAAATTAATGTGTGACCTGGTAAACATCTTGCTGCCCTTACCCTCAGAAATGATGACTCAAGTGGCATAAAAGCCAGTCTACATGGTGCTGCCCACAGGACTGTTATTTGTGATCTCTGCAACCCAGATGGTTGCAATATTCCCTTCTGCTACAGCTGCTTTAATGACAAATAGATTTGAGCCTACAGCCATGTGGGAAGGTGTGACAATGTGCACACTAAGACGCTGATTTAAAAGCAACACCTATTTTGTGTCCACAGAGCAATTCCCCACCAGCCCTTGGCTAGTTCATTTTAAGGCTGCTAACATTTTAAAACCCAGCACCGTGTTTCCACTTCAGAGATAGAGTTACCTATCTCCTGAAGCACACAAACACCCTCCCATCTCAGGCCTGCTACTGTAAAGATTAGTCAAGAGATTAAATCCAGCCCTGTCGTAAATCTGCTATCGAGACTAACACCAGGCAGTAAAACTGACCCAACTTCACACACCCTCACAGAGCTCTCTAAACAATTAAGGTTTTAATGAAATCACAGCACAGCCAAAGGTTTATTTGTATAATTATTTTAAATGAAAATATTTAATTTTCTTGTTAATAACTAGGACACACATAACTGGTAAATCAGCCATCCAACATATGCTGGGGATATCCCCAGATTGGCACTTGTTTTTAAAAATGTATTACTTTATGCCAAGCTGCAATTGCTCTCTAGGAAATGAATGTCCTATTAGAAAACTCATTCTGGTTTTAATTACAATGCACATCAATAAAACTCTTTAAAGAAGTCTTGGCACTGGTACTTTGGCTTTGCTCTGAATTCAGAAAGTACTAAAATACTGCTTAACTTCTGCAGCAGCAGCACAGAATTTATCTCATGTTCAGCTGTTGGACTACTCCTGCAATAGTTTTAATCTCTTACGAGACACAGCAGAGTGTTGATAGAAACCACTGTAAGTATATCTAGCATCACATTATTCCACAGCCAAAAGCCATTAACCAAAGTTGCTCTTTCTGCAATAATCTAAATTATTGTGTATTGACTTAAAATAAAAAATACTTCTCAGGCTAAGAAAAGCTTCTCCTGCCACTGGCTGAACAATAAATTGATTCACAATAGTGAACCAGCATAAAAAGTTAAGTGAAAGACACTTTCATTTTTGTCTCTTCTTTTTATTGAGGTTCAGATCCTGCTAAAAATGCCTTTGAAGTTGCACCATTTGCTTGCCCTCATGAGGAAGAAAATTCTTTCCCACCAAACCTCCCAGAAGATGGCAATACTAAATTAAGAGGTATTAGGGGAAAAAAAGTAATTAATATTTTAGAAACTTTTTTCTATCCCTTCAGCAGAAAGTGGTATTGGTTAGACTTTAAAAAAAAACACAGAGACTCAATGCTGCAAGCTTTATTTAGCCTCGGGTAAAACAAAGGCCATGCAGAATATCTCCCAAGAAAAACAAACAGCACCATGCTCAGTGCTCCTCAGAAACTCCTCCAAGGGAGAGCCCTCTGAGCAAATACTTGCTGAGGCTGACACACAAAATCTATTCAAAGAGCCCCAAAACACAGCAGCTTCCAGCACTGTGTACCCCCTGTGCACCAGGCACATCCCTGGGCTCACTGCTTTGATCCAAGCTGGGCACACAAGGAAGCACCTGCACGTCCCAACTGCACGAGCCTCATCTGGCAATGTTTAAATTGCTATCAAATGTCAAAAGTTTCAAATAAGCAATTAAAGCGAATTACTAGGTGAAACAGGCTTCTCATTTAAAAGAAATTACTTCTTTTGATGTAAAGAAAATTAATGACCCCAATTCTAGCTCCATAAACACAGTTTACAGCATAAGGCAGATCAGAGTCAGGCCTGTCTCGCAGTTACAAAGAAATCAAGTCAATGTCATATTAAAGGGGGGAACAAAAATAAATTTTAAAAATACATGTATTTAGAAAACTACACAGACCAAAGCTTATAGGCACATAGCATGCCAAGTTTAAAAGTTTAAACCTCGTAAGTTTTTTATAGTAAAAGGCATCTCATTTCCAATGCTTATGTTTTGGAAACTTTACAAGGAGCCTCTTAACCCACACATCCAGCCTCTGTCACCCCCAGTTGGCATTGTGGCCAACCTTCCCCAGCACCTCAGTTAGAGCCCAGCTGGACAGTTAGATTACTTTTATTTTTCCACTCGGAGACAAAAACACCTGGCTAATGGTTGGGCGTCAAGGCCAGAGGAAACACAAGTTACTGTTAAAAACATTAACCATAACTTAAAAGTTTAGCCAGCCCCATTAAAGAGGTTTTCCTGCCCGGTGACAATGCCTGGTCCTGGGGAGCCCCTGCTTGGGCAGCTCACACCCTGACAAGGCTGGGGGGGAGTTACACTCTCGTGTTTAACAGAGGGAAGAAATAAAACCTGAGTGACCAAATGTGTGTCACACACGTGGGAGGGGTGAAGCAGCCAGAGCCATCCTTGCTACAGCTCCAGCAGCAGACAGGGGAGCCAAACAAAGGGGGTGTGCAAATCGCTGAGGGCAATGGCACAAAAATTAAACATACAAAACACAAGCCTCTGCTCCAAACAGTGCTCCAAAACTTCTTTAGTCTGCTGTGCTACAAAGAACATGACTCTTTTGTTCCTTCCTAGCATAAACAAACTATGCTGTCTTTGTCACACCTACTTTCCAAATGCTCTTCTTTCCTCCTGAACAAGCAGGATAAGCAGAATACTGTGATGCTGCATCATTTACAGCTCTCCCTCCCACTGCAGAAACCAAAACCCTAATTTCAGACTCAGGATCTTAACTTTTGCATACAAATTTTAGATATTCAAACATCACAGACTGTTAGAATTGTAAAATAAATGGTCCCACTAGGAACTGAGGAGCCCACCAGCCCCCAGCAAGGTCAGGGCATGAGATAATTGCATGTTCTTATACGAGGACAAATTTCCTGAATGCCTGAATTTGCCACTGCTTTTCAGCAAGCAGTTCCTACAGACACAAGCTGCTGCTGGGAGCTTAGACACTCGCATGCAAACTGCCTGCATGAGAGGAGCTCACAGCAATGGTCTGCAAGTTCAGCTGGGCAGGATGGCAAACTTGGGAAAGCAGGGCTGTGCTCCCGCCAGAACACACGGCAGAACACACACTCCCTTCAGCACTGCAGCATTTAGCCTGAAGCCTGCCTTCAGGCTTTACCTCTGAAACCAGGAATAGGGAAAAGGAGCACAGAGTTGAAAGCATATCAAAAGTCGCTTCTTGCACCAGCGAGAAGGAAACAGTCTCTGTAATTGAGGCTTCCCTCTCTGATCAAGAGCTCAGCTCTGCGCCTCCACACGAAACAAGTGAGGACCAGAGGGTCTCAGCTTTGGGGTAACAGCATGTGCTGCATGTGGGGCACACAAACCAAACCCACACTTCACAGCTGTAAAATACAGCTGTGACCACTGCCCTTGAAACTACAGACATAACTCAAAGCAACTGGGACATGGCCAAAGGCCACTATCACCAAAAATCCCTGCTACAGCTTAGACACCAAAGCCACAGCCAGGTTTTCAAAGCATGAAACACCAAATTACCTCCCTGGACCTGAACTATTCTGAGAACTTGAAACAGTCTGTCAGTCATAACTGCACTTAAATTATTTTGAAATTATAGCTCAATCTGTAATTTCCCATGTACTTAGAGTTAGCAGTTAGATTTTCTGTTCAACTAACAAGAAAGAATAAAGAGGTTTTTTCCACTGAAAAAAGAGAAGCAAAGATACAAGCTTTGAATCTTACCTGCAGCTACTGACTTCTTACTCCCAAACTAAGCAAGAGAAGAGGAGGCAGCACAGCATCTGGATTCTCACTTAAGAAGTCCCTGAAGTAATACCCACCCATCTGTAACCTAATCCTTGCAGCGAGGAACTGTGCACAGAGTGTGAACAAACGATGACGAACAAATGATGAAAAGTCAAATTGCCAACAACCATCCTCAGTAATTACCCACAATTTTGCCTGGCACTGGTTTCTGCAGTGAGAGTGTATCCAGAGCAGTATTCTGAATTGAATTAAGCTCTTGATATAAATATAATTTAAGAGAAAGAAGAGTTACTGAATGTCACAATGAAATATATAATTAAATACAGATTAAGGTGAACAACATTTTAAAAAGATGCTTTTGGAGAAAGAAATGTATTATCCCAGTGCACAAGAATCAATATTAATGATTTTTTGTCTTAATTGTCCTTCCAGATCTCTACCACACTGCTTACAAATTAGTTTTTATCTTACAAGACATTGTGAAATATTTGCAAGTATCTTCTATATTGACAAATACCTTGAAGGCTGATGCCTGCTTTCAATTATATAGTAGTCACTGTGAAAACAAACAAACAAAAAAAAAGCAAGCACTATATTCAGCAAACCCAGAGAGTGTTCAATGCAATCAAGGGAAAAAAAAAACCAACAATGCTAATGATTTTTTTAAGAGAAGTTTCCAACTATCTGACTAATCTCAAGGGAGTGAAAATATGAGCTTTAAGTCTTCAAGTAACCCATGTTGTGAATTCATTCAGTCACTGACCTCA